TTTAAAATATTGGACGAAATAGAATCTGAAACTGAATAGAGGCGTGAATTTGAGAAGTCATAGGAGTAACTATGGGAGTAATTTGGGAAAGTATAAATGTAAACAATTTTGGGCTAGAAATTGTTTTTTGAGAGTGAATTTGGTATGTCAGATCAATAAATTTGAGGTGATCTAAATCACAAAAAACTCGAGATAACATAATCTGTCGGATTTAACTTCTTTTTAACTTAGAATTTATCTCGGCTGCCTTTTGTCTATAGATTTACTATTATTAATTGATCAATTTTTTTACTCAAAATATTGATTCAAATTTGACTGTCGACACAAACACCGACGAGAAAAGTGTTGTGTTTTTTGTTGTACTGGATCTTGCTAACTTCCTTGAGCCACGTGATGGGGGGTTGATAAAGCCCAACGCCTGATTGGAGAATTCCAATCTGATGCAGTTGATCAACATGCAAGAGTTCCAAATGGTTCCACATTCTATGTTGCAGTCGATAAGTCCCATCACTAGCATGTAGATTGTCAGGTTATCTATTGAATTGGACCTAATGGGTCAAAAAATTTCAAATATGACATAGTATGTATATATACGTGTGTGTATGTGTGTGTGCATATATGAAATTTTAAAATTCAAATGATATATAAATATCAAAAAAAAAATTTAAAAATCTCACATTCAAGTAGGTATGCACTATTTATGGTAGAGGTTATTATGAAATACATTTTAGAAAAAATTTGAAAATGTTTTAAAATGTGTACTTATTGACAACTATTTGATGAAAAAGAGGACTTAAAGGAAGATAAGTTTGGAGGTGGTACTTAAAATCAAATAAGTTTTAGAAAATGTACTCACATCTCATTATCTCATTGTTTAATACCATTTTTATTTTTAAAATGGGTAGAATATAACGTCAACCACCTTTTTTATTTCTTTTTTGATGCAAAATATGACCAATTTATTTCATATTATTTTTTAATGTTAATCCGTGGTGGTGTCTTTTATTAGTGTCCAATGTGTTGTTACACTATGACATAGTGTGACAAACAGTGTTAGGTACAACCAACTTATTATTTTTATGTAACATTGTGATGTCATACTGTGTCAAGTATATCATTTAGATTATTAAGCAAGTAAATAATGTAAATGCACATTATTTGTCACAGTCTAACAAATAGAATAGTGTGCAACGTGTGACAAATAGAATAGTGTCATTGTGATGTTGCAGTGTATTCTTGAAACCGTACATTTGCAGTGGTAGAATATGAGCTAGTTTTTTCCAAACCCTCTTTTTCCTAGATGATGAAATCAGTTGAGAGGATTTTTTGAATTTTAAATCTTTTCTTAAATGCTCATTTTTTATTTGGGGTATAAATGCTCTCTTTAAAGATTAAATTTTGAATGGAAGATCATCTTCTTGATTCTCATAATTTTCAATTAAATTTTTAAAGATTTGTTTTGTACACACAATTTTTGGTTGTTTATATTTTTGATTTGCTTGAAATCTTATGAATTTTATGGCATTTTTTATTTGAATTTCAAACACCCAATTTTGCATGATCTTTTAGCGGCCGAAATGCTTGAGTTTCAGCTATTTCTAAACCCATGAGATTACGTCGATTAGTATTTACACGTGGATATATTTGACAGTCACAAATAAAATTGACCTCTCTATAAATAGTTTTGTTCAAAAAACTTTTAAACAATTAAGTCTTATATCATGTACCGACCTACAAAAATTCCTTTAAAAAATAAGGAGAAATTGTGAAATGGTACACCATTTCATGCTTATTTGGGTAAAAATACTTTAATATAAAACATATGTATGTAAGTACCTTTGTATGTAAATGTTTGGTGAGTAGATACACTTTTGCTGATTTTTAAAATTTTCTTTTACGGAATTGTCCTTTTCCTTCATTAATTGGAAACAAATCTGACAATTAGAGATTCGGTTTGCTAAATTTACGAAATAGTATTTTTGAATTTTAAATTATATCTTCCTCTTTTATTCAGCTGAAGTTATTCAAACATTCATGTATTCCCCACATTTGTATAATTTATTTTTTTTGTTTTTTTTATAAATCGTAATGAAGAATATGTTTTCACCTTATATAATATCATTGGTTGTTAGCAGTGGTACATGTCATATTGACACAGTGGTACATGTCACATTGGTACAGTAATACACGATAATGTATAGTGCTACAAGACAATGTCACACTGATATAAATCAATGTCACACTAATACCAACTAATGTCACACTACTACAAACCTAATTCACACTGCTACAAATCAATGTCACACTGCATACACATACATGACACAGGACACAATGAATTATCATAATGACACAATACACAAAAAAATTGTATGACACACATATCATGAATAAATAAATCTAATGTAAATAAGATTACATAGTATCACAAACAAACAAAAGATGACGAATTGTGTTTTTGGGTGGAATTAGAGTTATGAGGAGGTGGTGATGTTGGTTGTGGTCTTGATCAAATAGTGTATGTGTGGTTGGAAAGTTTTGAGGGCGGTGATGGTGGATAAGGTCTATTGTGAGAATTCAGTTATATATGACCTCTTTAGTTTTTTTTGGCAAATGATCAAGCACTTGGTGTGCATGTAGTACCAAGCACCAAAAGCAAAAAAGGTAGTCGAGGGGAAAAAAGTAAATAAAATAAAACGTTGGGAGAAACAACGTTTTTCTTGAGTTATTAACTTTTTTTTCTAAAAACTTCAACGATCTCAACCGTCCTTTTTCTCTACAATGCACATTTTGTTCTTCAACGATTGATGTTTTGTACGGTATTAAAAAATTGATGTCGACTTTTTCACTTCTTTACTGTGAAACCCTAAATAAAAATGATTTCTAAATAACGATTTTCAGAGAATTGTAGTTTTGGGAAAGTTTTGTTATCCCTGTTTGAAGTTCACACAATCCGGCGATAATGGCGGAACTATGCATAACTGTTATATTTTCCTTTCCTTTCGGAGATGTCCCCACCTATTTAGGAAACAGTTCAATTTCTACAAAAAAGGGGTATTTTAGACTTTGAGTATGACATGTATACTTTTTAACTAATATTTTCAATTGTGGTATTTTTTGCCTAATATTTCTAATAAATGGTACCGGTTCCTTTAATTCCCTTAAAATAAATTAAGAATAATTGCACTTGAGGTCCCTAAAGTATGAAGTTTGTCTCATTTTAATCCTCAATATTTCAATTGCATCATTTTTGTCCTTAAAGTATTGAATATGTTGCTATATGATCCCTCAACTAAACAAATGTCCAGATTGTTAACGATTTTTTTTATCATAAACTTGTCATATAATACTTAAATATAGACAAAAAAAAATTTGATTGCTCTTAAACAAAATTTGGGTAGTTCTTGACAAAAAATGTGTAATATGAGTAACTTTTGATCAAAATTTGGATAGTTCATGATCAAAACTGTGTAATTTGAGTAACTATTTAACCAAAATTTAATAGAAATTTGGTCAAAAATTATTCAAATTATTTTTTGGTTCATATTTAAGTATCACGTTAAAAATTTATAATAAAAAATACTAGTAATTTGGACATTGTCTGTTTGAGAGATCATATAAAAATATTTTCAATACTTTAATCACCAAAATGATACAATTGAAACAATAAGGATCAAAATAAAACAAATCTCATATTTTGGGAACATTTAGTTCAATTAACCCAATAAATTATTGGGCCAATGGATACGTTTCCAAATCTTATTTAGGCAGGCCATGAAATACAAAATTTTGTGGTGCTAGTCCAACCCGACCCGACAACAGTCCAATAGCTAGACTGTCCGGCTTATGGCCTACCGTGATCCACAGATTTACGGGCTGGAGTGTCAGCCCAGTCCATTTTGATCTCCCATATGTCAAATCAGACCAGGTAGAATATGAGCACGGTACGGCCACATATTATTAACAACTCTCTGAAAAAAAAAAAATTTAGTCACAGGTTTTCTAATTTATCATATCTTCAAAGATATTCCCTATATTTTTTAAATTTTTACTGATACCCTATTAAATTAAAAATGTTAATTAGAATAAATTTTTACCAAATTACCTATGATATATTTTAATAAAAATTATTCACACCCTCTCTAAATAGGTATATTTTCTATGAAACCTCTTTTATTTTTTAAATTTTTTTACATATTAAAATTCGATTAGAGCCAATTAAAATTTATTTTTTATGTATTAAAAATTGAGTCGATTAAAAAATAAATTTTTTTACGTATTTAAATTTGAGCCGATTAAAATTTTATTCAAAACTCAAATTAAATTTTAATCAACTCGCATTAAATTTTAATTTGTCCTAATTTTGATACATAAAAAAATATAAATTTTAATCAACTTGAATCGAATTTTAATAAATAAAAATATAAATTTTAATGGCCTTAGCAAATTTTAATCCGGGTTAACAGCTCAAGTAGAGCCCAAATTAGCTCAAACTTTAACAAGTAATTTTTTTTAATAGACTTGAATTTTAATACGTAAAAAAATAAAATTAAATCAATTTTAATCAAATTTTAATTGACTTAAATTTTAATATATAGAAATAAGAATTTTAATCAATTCAAATTTTAATATGTAGAAAAATAAATTTTAATTGGCTAAAATTTTTATCAAATTTTATGTAGAAAAATTGTTTGAGATTAATGTAAGGACAATTTCAGTAGTTTAAATAATTTATTTTTTTATAAATGATGGTTTAATGATTGGTGTGATAGTGATATTTAAATATAAATTATAAGGGTATCAGTGATATTTTTTATAATAGGTGATGTCCCTGATATAGTAAACTGAAATTTTTCAAAAAAAAAACAACTCAGTCTTGGTTTCTTCATTCTCTCTGGCCTTTCCCTCAACTTCTCTCCGCCCATCGGCCTCTCTCTCTCTCCCTCATATACACACACAAGTATCGACGCCATCGTAATTCCCTTAATTTCGGTCATCAAATGGCAGGTGAATACTTGTTTCATTAGGTCATTTACTTCATCTTCAGTTGAATTACTTGTTATATTACTTTCAAGCTGTATGATAATTCCGCATTTTTTTCCTATAGATTGCATTTGACTGTAGTCTTTCTCAGTATTACATATAATCAACCTCAAGAGCTACCAAGAAATTATTAATTCGCTTGTTTAGGGGAAAAAAAAGTCGGGTATTTGTATTTATTCATTTATGCTTAGGTGAAACAACTGCATGATTTTATTAGCTGAGGCTCTTGGTAGATCCAACTATAAAGCTTTCGATTTTTGTATTAATCAATTTCCATTATGAATGTGAGATGTGATTTGTGGACAATGTCAGAGTGTGCTCTTATTCATGTCCAATAATCATATAAAATGTAAATCTATTCCACCAGTATTAGAACAATTTTTGTGTTTGTTGAAAAAAAAACCTGGTATGCTTCCATAAAGGAGGTATCCTATAAGTGCAAAGAAATAATATACTGGCACTAATCTGACATGAAATCTCGTACCTAAGACAAGCCTCGCAAATGATGTATTGTAATAAAACCCTGTTTTCCCCTATCCTGCGTTATTTTGCCTCTGTTTCGGTCATTTCTAAGCATTCATGACCAGGACATTAAATTTTTAGCGTAGAGTATAATAGAGCTTTGGTTGTATATTATTGTAATTTTGGGGGTGGAGTTATAAGGAGTTAGTGAGGATGCTGTTGCTAATTGGAGAACTGTTAGGTGTTGTTTTATCTGTTCAAAACTTCTTAAACATATTCACACACAATTAAAACATACAGGAGTTGAACACTAGGTTAGATTCCGGCAAATTGAAGATTATGCATCTCAAGCTAAGCTTTGTAAAGTAATTCCTACTATACTTGGTTGCTAGGCCCTCAGCGCCTAAATTATTCTTATATCTTTCTTCTTTTTTTCTTTCCTTTTTGTTTTTGTCTTGAATCCCAACACGAAAAAGAAAAATATTTCAGCAGAAATATAAAATTTTAACTGCACATTAACTCTAAATTTTGAATCAGCTCTTACAAATATGAAAATCTGATAAAATTCAGTTTTTATGCAGCACTATCTGGGAAGGTTGTCCAAAATGTTTTGGTAGCAAAATGCTGCCAGCAGAATAGGAAATTCAGCACCCAATACCAAAGGGACTGTTGTGCCCCAAATATGCGCAGCTTGCTTCCCTTTCAAGGAGGGAAGTTGGCATGGACTGGCTTCTTTACCATGCGATTGTGCACCATGTCAAAATTTAGCCGTGGAATTGTTTACTGCAACGGTCTGTTCTAGACTCTCATTATCCAGGTTGACATCAGATGCAACCATAGTGTTTCAGACCTTTAGAATACTTGCTAGATCTTGTTGTCTAGTTTATGCATATTTAGTTTTCTTTAATCAACAGGTCTTATTAATCTTCCTATGATGATAGTTATCAGACGTGGTAGCTTCAATGTGATATTTTCTTGTCAATTACAAATTTATAACTGTAAATGGGCTTTTTTTGCAGCTGCTCCTTCTACAACTGCATTACCGTCTTTAGAAAAAGCTGATTTTCTTAAACTTCAAAATGGCAGGTATTTAATCATGCCAGCGTAGCAAATTTTTAAATGTATTTCTCTTCGTGTCTTCTTGTTACTTAATCATTTCGGAAATCACTGTTGTTTCGTGTTTGTATTCACCAATTATTGTCATGAACATAATGGGTTTGCACTCAATTCAATTCACCCAGGGTAGTTAGATATCCAGCTGTTTGAATTAAGGCTTAATTCTTGTTAAAAATAAAATAAAATTTGAGGCTTAGTTTATTTTAAAATTCTTCTTTATTTTTTTTAACTTGGTTCCTAATGGATTAGTTTTTTGTTTTTGGGTGTTATGTTGGGGGGAAAGAACAATGAACATTGTAATATGTAGGTTTAGGGACTTCAATTTTGATAAATGTGCACTGGATCCTAATCCTTTGGGCTCATCGTGAGCCTAACTTAGTGACTATCGTAATGTGACTGGAAACAGTTTAATCAGACCATTGATGCATTCAAAGCTTGTGCCCGATAACTCAAAGTTAAGTTGAAACAATTTAGCACTATAGTGACTCATTAGTCGGACATTCAATGTAATATGTTTCTCATGGATGCCCTCTGATTCATTTTATTCTTTTGTGGATTTTATCAGTGTTTTTATTCTTTTGGAAGGAGCCTAGTTCTTTCTCTATATCTAGTTAGGCCGTATGTTTCTTACTAAGATTGTAATCGAATATACCCCTCTTACGGGCCCCATATGTACTGGTTGGCTACTCCTATTGGTCTTCGCTCACTGTTTAGGGTTGATCAGCTCTGGTGTGGTAGCCATGCTGATAGAAGTGATCTGTATTTAGTATGATGCCACAATCATGATGGTACAATTTTGAAAGTACTAGCATGACATCTGAAATGGAGCTTTAGTGCTTTACTGATTCAAATCTAATTTTCTATCAAAAAATAGGTTTCCCACAAAGTGAATGCATTTATTTTCAGCCTGAACTCTCGTATCTTTTCTTCTCAGGTGGTGGAGAACAAGCAATACTGCTTGCATTATGCATTATAATATGATAGAATATGACAGATGCATTTTTACACATGCATTCACATGCACACCAATCACATAGAAACATACATATGTAAACACTCACATGCATATAAGAATAAGCAAAAAATGGGTATTGATTTTTATGGATTACGTCCCTCCTTCCAGTGACATTCGAGGTGTTGCTGTTGCTGGTGTTGAAGGAGAACCTGTTAATCTTACTGAAGCTGTTACAGAAGCAATAGCTGCTGCCTTTGCTGCATGGTTGCTGGATAAAAAGAAACCTGATGCATTTAGACGTTTGAGAATTTCTATTGGCCATGATTCTCGAATATCTGCACAGAAGCTTCAGGTATCCACCCCTACTATATTGTCAGTGATCCTGTCAATCACTAACAAAAAAGTTAAATATGCTTTTGGAAGAATAGAACTTTGTAATTCACAAAGAACTGCTTTAAATTCCTTTTGTATTTCCATGCCAAAACTACTTTGATTTCAATCGGGTTACCCTCATTAGAATATGCTCACCATCTTAAACATCTATTTGTATTTATGAAATTGAAAGTGGGAAGAGGGGGGGGGGGAGGTAGGGGTGATTGTTACTGTTGAAACCATTTTGAGCCTGTCCCCAGTATGTAACCAGTTATGAGCATCACATTCCCCACTATTACATAGAGCTGGTTTGACAAAGAAATTGATTTGTTACCTTCCGAAAAAAATAAGAAATTGATTTGTTGGTGATGAGACAGTCTATCTTGACATTTTTCCATTCCCTGACCACTTTCTCTCTAGAAAACTCCACTACTAAACCTCATGTTCGGCCTACCAAAGGAAGGTAACCAAATATAAGATACAAACAGCTAATAATTCAATGATGTGAATGGCTAAAGTATCTCATGGATCATACCGACTTTGAAAGGTCCATTTCTATGATTATTGGGCAAAAATTCTTGTGAAGAGCTTACAACTGGCAAAGATAATATTCCCTTTTGGGGGTATGACTTTGCTCCAACAACAAACACTTGAATGAAGGATTCCCAGTGAAGATGCCTTGCTGCCTTAGATTGCTTGATCCACCTGCGGACTCTGAATGGCAATGGGTCTCTAATACTCTTACCCACCTTAGACTACTGATCTAGTGCTTCTGGCTCTAAAGAACCTACACATTTTCAAATTTGATATAATCTCCCCATTCCTTTTAAACCCATCTACAGGCATCCTACCTGTATCTGGTGCTGAACTTGCATTGTCACTTGAGGAACGTGTACAGGTAGCAAAGCTATCCACCAATCTAAGTTTTTGAAAGCAGTCCTTAGGTCTGCTACCACTCCTAATTGTAAATCCTCTTGGTTGAAATATTTATTCCTGGAACCACCTCTGTTTTAGCTGTCCATCAGCAAAATAACCTTGCTGAGAGTTCACCTATCAAACAGCTGATTCTTTAAGACCACTCTCATCTCAGATGTTCCACTTGGAACAATAACCTTATTGACACATTTCAACCAGTTGCCTCTTGAAGACCACACTCATCTCAGCTGGGGCACTGGGAACAGTACAATCAAACATCTTCGTAAATGGGATACTGATGCTCTGGCAGAGGCTTTTTAATTCCATCTGAATGCTTGAATTCTTTGGTGAGTGCTTTCCCATTTGCCAGATCTTTTTTATGAAATTATCACATCTCACAGTACAACCTTCCCAGGCAACAGCTGGGAATGGCTTGTAATGCAGGTTAGGTTAATGTTAGAGGAAAAATAGTTGATGATATGACTTCGATAGGAAATTGCATTAATGTATATGTTAAATGAACAAACTCTAGATCATAAAAATGTAGTCCCTGCAATAGGTATTACTTTATTTTTAAAAATCATGAACAATATATAAAAACTTTATGACCTTTGACTATTTTTTTTCAAATCCCAACATAAATTATTAGTTACCTTGGAATGTGTACTGAGGCATAGCATAAATTAAGCCACTTGTATTGTTTAGATAAGTGGTTTTTATTCTTGGAAATTGTATTTTTATTCCTTTTCTTCTGCAATTTATGTGGTAGTAGCTGACCTTCCCATGCTATCTGAAAGTTCATATCAAGTAGTAAATTATACTTTCAGAAATTACTTATTTCATCACCTTATCTGGAAATACTTACAATCTGCTCATTTTTTAGTCTCTAAGAATTCTATTTTTCAACTTTCAGGATGCTGTTTCTCGAGGGATTGCTGGTGCCGGCCTGGATGTGATTCAATATGGGTGGGTGATGACTTTGGTTATGTGATACTGTAAGATTATTTAGTAGACTGATTTTTATATTCTATTAGTCTAGAGATAGTTAATTTAACACCATCTGGGCATGTAGCCTATTAACCATTATGATGCTCCAAATCTTGCTCGTTTTTAGTTCTCTTCCATTCTTTTTTAACTAATAGAGAAACATTTCTCTGATTACAAGTGAGAATTGATGAGAACTGGAAAGTGGATCTGTAGAACATGAAACACAAATCAGGTATTCCAATTCGTGGTTAGTAGGATTGGAGAATCCTTTTGAAAATTTCAAACGAGTTTAAGGCAAGTTGAATCCACGTAATTTCTCATCATATTTTGATTATGCCCGTGTTAATATCACTCTGGCCTGTTCTTTTCAGGCCTAGTCTCTTGTTTCTCTATCTCTCCCCCCCACAACAAAAAAAAAGCTCCTTTATTTTCTCTCTGTTGGAAGATTGAAGCATTCTTAGAACATTATGACCTGCAAGGTTTACAGGATCTAGGTTTGGACGTCCAAATTTGACATGCTGAGAGATTAGAACCGGGAAGGTTTTGTATGGCTTGTCTGATCTGAACCATGCTGTTTGGCAGTCCATCATGTTCAACTTATAATACGTACTTTTCTCTGTTTTAGAGTGAGGTTGTAGGAATTATGTTTTAGGCATCAAGCTCACACTAACACCTGATTTTACTGTGATTAGACTTCTTGTTATGGTTGTAATATTTGAGTTGCTTGTTCTCTTAAAACAGCATAATATCCCTGTAAGACTTTAGTTAGATGTCTACCTGTAAAAATTCGATCATTTTTGTTTCTATATACATTATAGTATACTTATGTTTATTTTTATCGAAAGAAAAATCATGTTTATCATTTTCCATTTATTCTGGTTATCTGTTGGATATTAATTTGTTGTATGCCACCCCAATTAAAGGAGGCGCAGGTTCAATTCCAAGTAGAGGAAAGGGATTTGGTGCCCGGATAATTTTGTTTCTTTTTGTTGGTTTTGTGGGGAGGGGACTCTGCTTATTGGAAAGGTTTGGGGAAAAAAGGAAAGACAGTGATATTAGAGAGAGAGAGAAGTAAAAAGTGATAGTATATTCCTCTGTTTAGTATTTATATAATGTGATTTAGTGCATATCAATGGTGACATAGCTTGATGCATTTTGTTCTACTGCTTTTGTAGATTAGCATCCACGCCAGCAATGTTCAATAGCACACTTACTGTAAATGATGAATTTTTGTGTCCAGTTGACGGATCCATCATGATAACAGGTAAATACATGGAAGCATATCTTCTACTAGATTTTAGAAAGTCGTATGAAACTAAATAATCTTTGAGTGGCCAATTCTCGGACATCCTGTCAGATGGTCTGGCAGCACCTATATGTTCTTATAGTTGGTTAAAAGTGAAGTATATATGTAGCAAGTGGCTGGATAAAGCTTAATTTTCCAATGTTGGTGTAACCTTAGGCTTAGATCTATTTTAAAATTTCGAATATGCTAAAATAAATTACATGCAAAAAATTTTACCTAATGGAACACTTTTTTTTCTCTGCAAACAGCAAGTCATCTTCCTTACAACAGGAATGGTTTTAAATTCTTCACTAATGCTGGAGGGCTTGGGAAAGCTGACATCAAAGACATCTTGGAGCGTGCCACAAATATTTACTTGAACTTTACTGCTGAAGGTTTAACGGACTCGGAAAGAAAAGCTTCTTTATCTGTGAAAAGAGTTGATTACATGACTGTTTATACATCTAATCTTGTAGCAGCAGTTCGTAAAGCTGCAGGAAACATAGGTAATCTTTCTTCACATAGTTCATAGCTATACGCAACTCAACTCCACAAAGTCCTATACCAACTATTTCAAAAAGAAGGAAGTAGGATTTTCTTTGGAGATTAATATCTCTTTCTCTCGTGTGTCAGCCAACCATTGAATTTGTCTTTCCAATTTAGCTGAATGTCCCCTTTTCTATTCTCTTGCCAATGCTTGTTTTACTCATTGAATATCTAGTGCCCTCTGTACATATTCAAAGTCGATCGGCTTATACTTGTGTGCTATGAACTCTCAGAGAAGCCATTGGAGGGATTCCATATAGTTGTTGATGCAGGGAATGGAGCAGGAGGATTTTTTGCGGTAAGTTTCAACAATGATATCATTCTAATTTTGACTCCCTTGTTCCACTATTTGAGGCAGAGGTTGTATTTTTATGTTCTGCTGTTTCATAGTCTTTGTCTAACCATTTCACTTAATGATTTTTTTTTTTTCATAGTCTCTTTTAAAGTAATAAATGTTAGAATTTGTTTTTGACTATCTCCATTCATCCTCTTCTTGCTGACTTGGTCATTTCCATGGTGAGAAAGAAATTCTGCTTGTTTTTTTTTGGGAGGGAAGCATAATCTTTATATCTTGTATTTTGAGAACTCCTAAAGCCTGCAGAAGATATTGTTGGCCTTATCCCTTATGTAGTGAATACATTAGTAGTCTTATCTCTGAAAAGATGTCAGGAAGATGATGTTGTGGTAAATTTGTAGAATAAATCAGTATTTCCTGCTTGATTTGATGTTAAAGTGTTTATGTTGATGGTTTATCAGGGAAAGGTGCTAGAACCTCTGGGGGCTATTACTTCTGGCAGCCAATTTTTGGAGCCAGATGGTAAGGTTTAAACCTGATATATTTTACCTGAGATTTAATCATATTTTGGTGACAAAATTATTACGATAACAGGTTTATTTCCCAATCATATTCCAAACCCGGAGGACAAGGCAGCAATGAAAGCTATTACCAAGGCTGTCCTTGATAACAAGGCCGATTTGGGGATCATCTTTGATACTGATGTTGACCGGTGATGATTTGGGCAATCTGTCTGTTCATTGAACTTGAAAATTTTAAGTTATTCTTAACGCTTGTCATGAACAGATCTGCTGCTGTTGATTCCACTGGTTGTGAGTTCAATCGGAATCGTCTGATTGCTTTGATGTCTGCTCTTGTTTTAGAGGAAGTAAGTTTTCCCATTTAACTTTCTTTACAATTTTTGCTTTTGACCCTTAATTTGAATTGTTATCCTCTTTTGTTTTATTTGATTAGCATCCAGGAACAACTATTGTCACCGACAGCGTGACTTCAGATGGGTTGACTACATTTATCGAAAATAAACTGGGTAAGCGGCAAACTAAGATAGCTGGACATTAATATCTCCTGTTAGACATGCTCATTTCTCTTGATTTCTCACAGGAGGGAAGCACCATCGGTTCAAAAGAGGATATAAAAATGTTATTGATGAAGCAATTCGTCTGGTAAGATGTTGTCTTTATTAATAATTAATAAATGTCTCTGTGAGTTGGGTTTTGAATTGTATGGGAGCCTTGTTGAAATGTTTTGGTATGTTGATAGAATAGAAGTACTTGAAACTTCTAATTATATTGTGTTTATCTTTTGGATGTCCTGATAAAAAATTTCCAGCAGCAAAATTCTATGTGAAGTAAAGGGGTTTGAGGATTATGTTGTGGATCACTTGCTGCCTTACATGGGCTTGTTGCTTTGGATTTAATTCTAGTTCCTTGTGTGTTTGTTTTCATTTTCTTTTACTTGGTTAGTGGGTTTCTTCTCTCTCTTTTACTGCATTTCATCCTCTTGAGATATGCGCTCTTTTATTGTCAAGAAGAGAAAAAGGTGGGTGGGAAGTATTTAGGTCACATATATGACATAGGGAGACAGGAAGAAAATTGGATGGGTCTAGTTTGGGTGCTATTAGGTTAAGTGAAGAAACCTTCCTAAGCAGAGGAAAGTGGTTGAAGGATGCTAAGGGAGAAAAGTAGAACCTTGTATTGGTGACCGTGGTTGTGAGGATTAATTATCAGTTTTTGCTATAAGTATGGTAGTTAAGTGGCCAGTGGTCATTCATTTTTACGTAGTATGTTAGGTGTGATTGAATCCTCTCCTAAAATTTATTTTTAACCTGAATGAAATATTTTTTGTTCCGTTATGATAGCCTTTTGAACTTTCGGTTTCTTCCTCCACAGAAATACTACTATTAAAGTGAAATATTCTTGACAGAACTCTGGTGGTGAGGAGTCACATTTGGCTATTGAAACCAGTGGCCATGGAGCTCTCAAGGAGAATCATTGGCTTGATGATGGTGCATACCTCATGGTAGACTTTACTTTGCAAATTGATTGTATATTGAAAAATTTTAAAAATAAATAAAGCTTTTGGTTTTCCAATTTGTTGTTCAATGCTAGATCTGCAGTCCATTGATGGATGAAGAAACGCCAGAACTTCAAAGGATACCTTTTTTTCCTATAGTGAATGGACATTTATCCCTCTAAATGCTTCACTACTTTTGTCATCTTTTTATTGCTTACCAGGTCAAGCTCTTAAACAAACTCGCATCTGCTAGAGCTTCAGGAATAGGTGGTGGCAGCAAAGTGTTGACTGACTTGGTGGAGGGTATGGAGGATCCAGCAGTTGCAGTGGAACTGAGACTGAAGATTGATCAGAATCATGCAGATATTAAAGGAGGGTATGTAACTGTAAATGATACATGCTTGTCATAAATGGTTTCCTTTTTGTGCAGTAATGAATGCTTTGGTTCTTCTAGATCTTTCCGGGATTATGGAGAGGCAGTGCTAAAACATTTGGAGAATATCATTAATTTAGATCCAAAGCTTCAGAAAGCCCCCGTTAACTATGAAGGCGTAAGTTTTGTAGCCTTGGAACTAATAATGCAGTTTAAAACTTGCAGTTTTTTTAACCAATCATGACTCACATGTCCTGCTAGAAATCAGCACGTGTAGCTGTAGTTACATATTATACATTGAATTGTTATGCATCTTCACTTTTGAATCATATGGCTTATTGAATAATGATGTAATGGTATACATTCACTTTCTATATTGGAATCTGAAACTGAAATGATTTGACCCTGGTATGAAATATCATTTTACATGCTTGTGGTGTATACGTCTGTCTTACAATTTACGTAAAAGATGCCTCAGTGCACTAGGCTCTTGCCATTGCGGGATTTGGGACGGTCAGATGTATGCAGCCTTACTCCCATGTGGAGAGTTTGTTTCTGCTACTCAAACCGTTGACGCCCAGGTCACAATGGAGCAACCCGTTTCTTAGAAGTGATATTAGACCTAAAATAATTTAATAAGTTAGAAAAACGAACTTGCAGTGGTATCTGTATGTATATTTGTGTGTATATGTGTTTATAGTCGTGCATCAAATGGGAATCAAATGCCAGTTGAGATGTTGAACATACTCAACCTTAACTACTTGGTAGGTAGGTAGTAAGCAAGGGAAAGGAGACAGCTCTATTCCGGAACAATTTTGGGGCATATCACTGGGTTATCTTAGTATGTACTTATTTTGTGTGTACTTAATGATCTCTTGACGGTAAAGTTGAGTACTGTGGTGTGACTTTATTTTAGGATGTATCTGGGGAGTGAATTTAGGTGGTGTTTGATAAAACTGAAGTGTGAATGCTGAATTCGTGGACTGTTGATACCCACTGAAATATAAGTACTGAATTGAACCAAACTGTTTGATAATTATACAAAATTGCCGTCTGAAAATAAATTAATTTTCAATTTTACCTTTTCATTCTTTATTTTGAAAATATTTATAAAATATGTTTTTATCTGATAAAAATCTATGATATATCAAGTCAGTTTACATGAATTATAATCACTATTATCTTATAATTCTTATTGTAGTCATTATAGCATAAATTACAAATATTGAAGAAAACAAGGCAAATAACCTTCAACAAAAATAAATAAATTGAATTAATAAATTATTAGTCCAATACAAAGAAATAATTGAACAAATAAATTGTTAACCAATACCAAAGACAAATAGAATAATAATAAATTGAATAACACAATATGTGCTAAGTGTGTGTGTGTAGAGTGTATGTAGAATGTGTATGTGTGCTGCTGCGTGTGTCTGTATACATGTGCAGTGGGTGGGTGGGTGTGCATGTGATTTGTGTGTGTGTGTGTGTAGAGTGTGTACACACATGGGCAAAGTGTGTATGTGTGTGCTTTATGTATTGTGTGTGTGTACAATTATGTATGTAATTATGTGTGTACGTGTGCGATGAAGAATAAAAGGGTAGAAGTAACTTACATGTATGTGTGTGATCCCTTAAGAAGACGACGGAAAAAAGAACGGTGGTGAGGAGGATAGATAGATTAGGGGTTTTGGACAGAAAATTAATTAGAATTTTAATAGAATTATGAAATATTGTGGGGTAGAATTGTCATATTGTAGATATTAAAGATCCTTTAACTGAGCACTTTCATAATTAAATTAGGGATCTCCTACTTAATATTTTAGCGTATTTTAAGGAGTACGTAATATATTAAAATATTCAAATTTTTGTTATCAAACGAGCTTAATTAATAAATGCTGAATACATTCATTTGAAAGTACTGAATTTGGATTAACAAACACATCCTTACTGTGCCTTTGATTGGCCTTTATATGATGTTATAATCTATATATGAAGAGTCATGGTATAAAGTGTAATAGTACATTGGAAGTATACTTAGAAAGTTTTAAATTATTGGCAAAAATGTAAACGACGGATTTCCAATCCTGTGGTTTTGGATTAACTTTAACAAAATCATTAATTACACTTCACCTCCAGCAATCTGGTATGTGACCTGCTACCTATGCATTTGTTGATTTTTTTGAATCTTTGTTGTATGCTGTGATTGCATGGGCCATCTTTGAAAATTGTTGTATGTTTTCTTGTTTTCATCTAATACTGATCCTATCTTTTTTAAGGGGTAATTATCTTCTACCCCCTGTGGTTTTGGCCAAAAACACCTTACCTCCTTGACTTTTTCAAATTATGCACATAACCCCCCTATGCTTGTATACCAAAGTGAAACCATTACTTTTACCTTCCAAATTGACCGAGAGTATGCTTTGTTTCCCTCCAAAAAAACTTATGTTTGATGCCCAAAATACCCCTTAAAGGCTTCTTCTTACTCCCCCGGTCAAAGTGTCACTCACATTGGCTCATGTAGATCCACGACCTTCTCCAGCAAGACCACAACAAAGCACCTTGATGGTGAGATTGGGGTCGCTGCCAGCAGTGGGGAACTCATTCACAGAAAAAACTTGAATCTTAAATTGATGCAACTACAAATCTCAATTTATGTTGCAACTACTGAAGGATTGGGTTGTTCAGGTGAACCACAAATTTCAGCAAAATTTTTTTGTAAAACACAAAAACTATAACCTTTGGCTTTTGTGAGAATTAGTGGAAGCGTGTAGATATTTTTCAGATACATAGGTCTTGATAGGGAACGTATTAGCAGACTCAATTTCCACGTGTTCAAAGACGGTCCCAAAGCATCCATCCCCTTCAAACTCACTGCCTACTATGTACATTGTGTATAAATATATACATCAAGAGAATGAGAGAAGCAAAGTAATACAAATACTCAAGTGAAGAGTTTTTCAAGACAGATAGTTTACAAGTTAATGGAATACGACAATTTAGGTCCACAGGAGAGTGAGAAGGGAAAGGAGAAAAAGAGAAGCCAGAATATGAGGAGGTAGAAGAATGGGGATAAAATTGTCATTTTCTTGGTTCCTTTAATGGCATCTGGTTTTTCACTTTGGTACACAAGCATAGGGTTCAGTGCATAATTTGAGAAGTCAAAGAGGATTGCTGTTTTTGATGAAGACCACAAGGGGGTAAAAGGTAATTATCCCCTTTTTTTAATGTAGCGGTATATGTAGTTGTGCTTGTTTGTATAATAATGTCATTCATATTAGTTGTTTTCATTTGATCATTATATTCTATCTCTTACAAGCAAAAATCGTTAAACAGGTTAGGGTCTCTGGCTATGGCGGGTGGTTCCTTCTTAGACTCTCACTTCATGACCCTGTTCTTCCCCTTAACATTGAGGTAGAAAAAATTCTCTCAACTGCCACTTGAGCTGTCATAATTTTTGGAAGCGATCGGAACTCATTCAAAATATTGACAATGTAGGCACCAGGCGATGAGGATGCTGTGAAACTTGGACTTGCAGTACTAGCCGCTGTAAAAGAGTTCTCAGCTGTGGATACATCTGCATTGGATAAATTTGTTTAACCATGATCAGCTGGAGTTTTACTTGGCTGGATTCCTTTTCAGTTCTGGCGTGCATATTTGTCCAATATAGGAACCGCCTCTTCAGGAGGGTTGATATGCAACAGCCATTGGACGTAATGGGAAGTTTCAGGTCTCGAAGCTTTGTTTCACTGATGGCAGCCTTTGAATACGATGATGTTAACTTGTCTGGTTAAAGAAATAACAATACAATGGACAGCTTTCTATTTGAGCATGCTGTTGAAAGTGTTGCTGCCTCTTTTCAAAAGTTGTGTTTTGGATAGCTTGTTAATGAAATGGCAAACTAATGGATTGATTATATATCTAGTTTTGAAAGTTTAATTTGGCAAATCAAATTTTGGTGATTATTAATATTTTGGCAATGACTGGTACTACATCAGCTCTGTAGAGTTTTTACTGGGTTGTACTGGCAAGACTGGATTCGGGTATGAACTGCCTAGCACTTCTTTTGGCTTTTTGGTAAGTGGGTATAGTGGGGTTGGCAAGATGATTATGGGGGAAATAGTTCAATAGATCCTAAAACTCTTGTTTGGATGGCTTTTTCAATCATGGACAGTAGTACTGGCCCGTAGCTGGTCCAACACATTAAACCCTTGAATGTGGGTTTTATGAAACCCATGCGGGGTAGGTTTCGATTGAGCTATTTTTGGATTAGTGATGTAAATGTCATTTGTACCTTTGAGTTAAACAAACATGAGTATGGATTTGATTAATCAATGAACAATATAGTCATTTATAAGTTAAATATATAATGATAATAGGGATATATCAGTGAATTATATATGTGTATATGTGCATATTAAACATGGGTATAGATTAGATTTAAAATTAAATCTCGTCTTTGTAAGAAGGAATGTGGGTTTGGAAGGTTTTGAGAAAGTCAATTCAAATTCTCTCCAAAAATTCATTCAAACAAGCCACCAATTGATTGGCTTTTTCATGGTGGCAAAAGAGCTGGTAGTAATCTACGAGATGAGATATGGCCGACGATAAGAATAAAGGATGATTGAATTTGACCAAAATTGACAAAATCCATAATTGAGAGGGGGATTGTATTCGAGAATTATCATCCTTGTTGGTTGTTGAAGAATGTGCAATAGAAATACGATTCCAAGTAAATGTGGCAAATGGGTGGGTTGAGTTGATTATGAGTTGAGTTAAATTGGATTGAGTTAAAATAAATCAAATTTATTTTTGACTCACGTAATAAATGGATTATAATAAATTGAGTTTATAACAAGTTAGGTTAACTAATTAACCCATAAAATAATTAAAATTCTTAATAGATACATTAGTACACCAAAACACATACACACATTAGTAGTACACAAAAATACAAACATACACACACACTAATATACCAAAACACACACAAACTAATACACTAAAAATATACACACTAATACACTAAAAATACACACGCATGTACTGACACATAAACTAAAACACATTTAATAAAAAAAATACACACATAATGGGTCGAGGTCTATTGTAGGCTATGGGTTGGTCTATGGGACGTGGATCAACCCACGGGTTGTGGGTTATGGGTCGACATGTGGATCATGGGTGATGTATTAGTGTGTGTTTTTGATATACTAGTGTGTGTATGTTTTGATGTATTAGTGTATATATGTATATTTTTTAGCGTAATAATGTGTTTATTTTTTGGTATATTAGTATATTTATTTAATTTTATTACTTATGTTATTTAATAAAAAGATAAATATTCAACACAATGAGTACACATTTGTGATCCATATTAACTCGCTTAATTAAAATGAATTATATTATCCAATCCATTTATTTATGGACGAGTTGAGCAAATTAACGAGTAATAAGTTAAGATTGTTATCGCCGATTCCGAGGATCACGAAGCCTGTATTTTGATCGAATTTCGAAAGGCCTAGCCCTGGAACCAGCAGCTGAGCTCTGGTGCATGAGTAGAGTGATGCTCACTCAAATTATGTTTGTTATTTTCTGTTCTGCCTTTTTCCACTGGGAGAGTTCAAATCTGTGCAGTTGCTTTTACTGTTGAATACAATGTCGATAAACCTTTAAAGTCTGTCTTCTTGTGAATAAGGGCGTTCAAATTTGATATTTTTCGCACCTCTTAAAAATCGATCACTCTTATTATTCAGATGACATGTCCTTAAATTAGGTTGAGTTACAATGGCTGATCTCAGAATTCAAATTATTACTACAAGTCTGATGATTAAATTAAATTAACTTTGTATTTATTGCAATGTTTCGAGTTCATTAGTCAGTAACTTTGACCTTGTTAACTCATAATATGACCTTATTGGTAGTAATATTTTCTGACCTTATTCGAGTTCATTACAACATTCTTACTAGAAACATGCCTTTGAACTATTTTAGACCTGGACTACTCGACCATCACAAGTCATATTACACAAAGCACTAATAACTGCATAACCATAACATAAACTAAATTAAAGGGATTGAGGAAGAAAGAGGAAAGCAAGTGAATACCATACATGCCCAACCAGACTAGATAACCATTTTAACCTGGCCTTGATCAAATGCCATTTATAATACAACATAAAATTCATTTGCACAAATTTAACATCACAGCTACAACTAAGTGTTGCGAATTCGCCACTTTATCCCCCCAGGTTATATATTTACTTGTCCCAAACATTCTACCTTTCTTTTGACGGCCATCTGTATATCGATAATTGGTGTCCCTAAAGCATTTAAGAATTGGTTGGTGTATGAAGGAGCTTCATCATGAAGTTGAAGAGGGTATCAGGTGAGGTCTTGGGTTGAGGCCACTTTGCTCCTTCTGGCACTCTGATAGACTTGAAACCCTGGCCTTTGTACAATTTTACGGCCCCAGGGTTACTAAGGTCGCAGTGCAATGCAATGGCACGACATCCCCAGCTTTGTGCTTGAGCCTCTGCTTTTGCTATGAGCTTTTTGGCTATTCCCTTTCGTCGAAACCTTTCCCGAACTGCAACATTCGATATGTATGCGATTCCTGTCCTGTGATGGTAGGTTCATATTAGAGAGAAGATCATCTTCTACAAGTAAATATGGATGTGATTTAGCAACTAGATGAACAATAAAACAGTTGACATTCATTCTGTGCAACGCACAGAAAGATAAAAAAAAATAGCGGGGGAGAGAGTGTGTGTTTGACGTGGTGTTTATCTCCTTTAGTAGAANATAAGGTTCATATTAGAGAGAAGATCATCTTCTACAAGTAAATATGGATGTGATTTAGCAACTAGATGAACAATAAAACAGTTGACATTCATTCTGTGCAACGCACAGAAAGATAAAAAAAAATAGCGGGGGAGAGAGTGTGTGTTTGACGTGGTGTTTATCTCCTTTAGTAGAATAGGTGAGTTTTTCAGCAATTCTTTTTGAGATTGCTGTGTCTGCCCTTTGAAGTGTGTTTTGAGCTTCGTTTCAATTCCCTACTGTTCAGAAATAAAACTACTTGCCAAAGGTGTTGAATGATTGTTGGCTGTGGTTGGGTTTTGGGGGTGACAAATGACCAAAAGTGACAAGTTACTTTTGGAAGTGATGATCAGATCTCGTGTCACTACTTGGTAACAGGGGAATGATAATGGTAGCAGAAGGAACGACCATGATGATGATAGTTATATATAGCAATCCTCAAAATTAGAGCAAAATTACAGATACATAGGAGGCCCACACGTAAAACAAACATATTCTCATGGATGTGGCACTTAAAGGTTCTGATTGTCAAAGTAATCCCATCTATCAGACAACATTTATCCTGACTAACCATCTGGTGGCCTTTCTATTGGGTGTGATATATTTCTCAATGCTTGACTTATGGCTATCTTACTTTGTTTTTGTGGTGATTGGATGACCAAAAGCACAATCAGAAGTAATGATAGTCATAACATTAATTACAACTAAGGCTAAGTTTGAGCAGCCAAGTTTTAATTTGAAGACGATGAAAAAAACACCAAGAACATGCATATGATGGATAAGGTCCAAAATAAATTATCTGAAAGAAATTAACCATCCAATTGTTCTAGGTAACTAACATCAATAATTTCGCACTACATTCATCTACTTCACATACACAGGGTTCATGAAAGTGAAGTTGTACTGTCAAGCTTAAGTCTTACAAAAGGTTTACTTTTAAAACATGATTTCACGAAAAGGGGATTAAAAATCAAACTTACCTTCTCTGCCGAAGTGGTCCTTTTCTTGGAAGAAAGTCGGCCACAGTATCCACTGTTAATATCCCAGCTACATATCCCTTATTCAGCCTAAATTTTGCATCAAAACCTAGGATTTTAAAATCTTCACTTCCACAGAAAAAGGTATCTTCATCCGAGCTTCCAATCACAGCAACCAAACAAGTTCTCCGGCAACCATTTGGAACCGAGAATCCAGATAGCATCGCGATTAACCTGTCGATCCTTAACACAAAATCTAAAGGGAATGAGTACTCGGGGAAGAAGGAGCTACAGTGAGTCTCGGCTACTTCCCAACTGTCCTCTAACCTGGCCTCCCGAACAACAATCCCAGGCGACACAGTTGAGAATAATTCAACCACTTGACTGGCTCTACAAAGCCCTAGAGCAGAAACAAATCATTTAATTACATCTTTCATATCCCCAAGGAACCCAAATTATGTGATTGAGAACAAGCAATACTAAATCAAGCTCAAAAACTCCACAGGCCTAATCAACCATAAGATCATCAAATTCCAAGCTCCAACATCCAAGGCTTCTAAATTTAGCAACTACTGTATCTAATTACACCACATTCAGATCTAAACAATTGGCGAGAAAAAAAGTTTATGCTGTAAGTTCAGAAACTCAGATGAAATTTGGGAAAACTTCAATTAAACATTCAGGAAAATGGGTCATTGACAGTTTTTAGTTAGCCAAAAACTTTTTTCCTTATTTTTTTTCCGGAAAGTAGTTAGCCAAAATGTTGGTAAAGAAAACCAAGCGATTTGGTTGAAATTGCAA